TATCTGTGGTAAATAACCTTTGCTGCAAGTTAAGATGRTTATTTCTTTTCTTTCCTATGTAAAGGAAAGATCGGCTTTCTGTAAAAAAGACCGTTACATTATTATATTTCCCTAAACTTTTTTCTTTTTTTTTCTTGACTACGTAAAACCAGTTCCTCCTAATCCATATTTTCTAAACTTTTTTTGTCTACAGTGTATCCATTTTGGCTACAGACTTGATTTCCAAAAGCAGATACCATATCCCAAGCAGGATCTGAAAGGCACCAAGCATAGGAGGGTAATTAGTTTTTGTGTCTTCCATACACAGATGATTCTGCCAGCATCTCTCAGAATGATTCCGTTCTGGTTTTTAACAGCCTCACGTCTATTTAGCCTATGGTCCTTGTTGCCTCACCCTTCTTTCTTCTTTTGTTCGTTTAAAGTTTCCTTCCTAAGCATGATACTTCTTGCAGGTTTTGATGTCTCATCATGTTGATTTCGGGCAATCTCTCTGTCAGTTGGATTTCAAATCCCATYTTCCAAAGGAATTGCAACTCTTCTTATATAGAAGCCATTCAGTAGGAATAGATGTAGGAGGATCTCAAGATGATCCCTCTTAAAATGCCTTCTGATTAGACAGTGAACCACTAATCCACTCAGAGAACGATTTTGCAGCCTTATGTGTTGCCATGCTTTTAACTAGATCTACTTATTTTACTTACAATGGCATGAGGATCAAGATATACTATGTTTATTCCTGCTATTCTGTCCATAGGGATATGTGGCTATTTCCCATTTCCTTATTATTCCGTACATTCCAATTATTAACTTTAGCATCTAAGTTAGGCTGGCATCTTCCCGTTCAGAAACATGCATTATGCTTGCCTTTCTCCACTTCCCAGAGATCTTAAAGATAATCTGCCAATTCAGGRATTGCACTGGCAATCATTCAAGGAGTTTAAGATGAATTTCATGATTTCCTCACAATTTGTATTACCTAACTTATCCAAGTATTGTTTAACCTCTTATTTTCTTTTTTTATTCTAAACTTTGGTCCCTGATTAAAAACTCTGCTGACTACCTGAAGACAATAATGAATTTTTTCATTTCATATGAAATATTTCCTATTTCATAGATTTCTTTTTCCTTTCTGTATTTATAAACATTTTCTTAGTGCTAATTCATGTTACGGTGCCGTCATCCCAATTTTGGTCCTTCACACTACCCTGTAAAGCATGAAAATGACTGCTTGTCCTTTTCTTTTTATGTGATTTCATCTCTATTTCTATGGCATGAAAGAATTCCTTATGTTGCCATACAAGACCATAATTACACTCTGGTTTCCACTGGAATAGTCCTTGTGCCTTTAATAGTGCTACTTACAGGGAAAGGGAATGTCCACACACATTGCTTCTTTGTTGAAAAGGTTTTTTTTTTTTTTCATTTTTTTTTTTTTCTGTTAAATCTGTTAAAATTTATTCCCAAGTGATTCTTGTGGGAAATGGGATTTAAGAGGGCTGGCAGCTGGTAATACTATAGCTATATGACAAAACTCAGTGCTACATAGAAATTTCCAAGGCTGCACAGAAACAGTCTATGGGGTAAAGAAACAATATAACAGTGTCATTGCAACGTTGCCCTGGTGTTAACTGACACAGTAATGCAATATAACACTAATATGATGTTGCTTCTGATACTAACACTTGGTTTCTTCTTGCTCGGAGTGTCTCATTGAATTTTGCCATAAAGGTATAACTTTAAAGAGTAAGAAAACTCTCCTGAACCTTTTATTTTTATTTTTGTCCTGAAGAGACTCTCCAACCTTGTAAAAGTGAACAAGAATTACATTATTTGTAATAAGAAAACTCTCCTGAACCTTTTATTTTTATTTTTGTCCTGAAGAGACTCTCCAACCTTGTAAAAGTGAACAAGAATTACATTATTTGTAATTATACAGACTATATTCACAGACCGTGTAAACTCGAAGAGTAGACACTTTTAGTTCCCTTAGGCTCCCCTCACTTTCTCTGTTAAATTACTACATAACTAAAAGATCAAGATTAAACTGAAATTAATTTTCATATATTGGTGTTAACACCAAGAAAAGCCATCTGGTTCCATTCACTATTTTTTACCATTGAGGTAAAGAGGCTAATCAGATATTTCAGTARTAAAGAAAAATTTGACTTATCTAAATATTAATTCCTAACAAGACAGGAAAATACTGTGTCTTCACCTTTGCATTTGGAGGAAAGAAATTACTTATCTCAATTAAGRGAAAAATCTTTTTATTGTTTCCACTTATTTCAGAGTCCAAGAACTCAACACTCAAAAGATTTTATTAACCCAGAACATGATCCTGCCAGGTAGAAGAGCAAAACATTGATAAAAGTAAAACTACATTAAAATATAAGCACTGAATTCTATTTTGGAGTAATGCTTTATCCAGAGTGGAAATAAATAAGTGCTAGCCTTCTTGTCATTATCTTTAGGGTCAAATATACTGATTTCAATAACATAAGAATGGCTTTATCATGCTAACAATTACAAAATCATTGGTATACAGCAAAAAAGGGCTSATTTCTGGTATTCGGTGATAACAAGCATATGCTACAAATACGCCGGGAAAGTGACTACATTTTCTTTCTAAACACAGTGAAAACAGAGTGGAATGGACCATATACTCACAGGACAAATTTGTCTCCTTCAMCAGAAAGGTACACATGTGAAAGTAGGCCACTTAAAAAATTTGCTGATATATCACGTCTAGATTTCTTTCTTGTCAGTGTAGGTTATTCCAATCATGGAACTAGCAAAAAATGCTTCACTATATATGCATATGCTGTAGCTGTTGAGTAYAGAAAAATCATTAGCTTAGGCCTGACACTTCTGTTCTGCCAAGATTTCTTACTACAGACCTGTCTTTAGGACTGCTACAGAAAAAAATTGCCTTCCCAGGCAATCTACTGAAGAATTAAAAAAACCACAAATGCTTACTCAAACAAGTGTACATATATACTAGCATATATTTAATTTAATTTATCATGCATTCTTTGTGAATACTAGTATATATTGTCTGAGTATAAAATTCTCATATATATTATAATTTTAACTTTATAAATTATTTCAAGAAACATGAGAATACCAGTAATTGTTTTGCTGACAGGCCAAGCACTTAAAATGATGATTTGTGTTTTTAAAATTGTTAGCTTGGTTAGAAAATAAGAAACGAGCAATTAAATCAGAGAGGTTTATTTGTCTTCTTGAAGCTTTTTAATGCATCTGAGATGTATTTTTCAAGTTTTTTTTTTCAGCAGTAATAGGGAATCTTTGCTTCATAACATCCGGCGGTCCCTGCATGATCTGTGATGGCTGTGGATGTAACAGAAACAACTTTACCTTTTGCAGCTATGTTACAGGGCCTTTAACACTCCATAACTGGTTTGTTCTGCAAGTGCCTTCCTGCATCTTGCACTGCAGCCACACTAACAGGGCCGTCAGCTTTCTCTGGATGCTGAGATCTGTAGTTTCCCTCCAGTAACCTCACCCCAGGTACCCTGCTTTGGTCCCAGAGGCCAGAGACATCAGTGCCTAGAAAACTTGGGAGTGGTGCTTACATGGCCTCTTCAACAAATTGGGCTTGTCCAGTRCTTCCTTACTCTGGATTACTCAAGAATGTGAGCTCACTTGGGGCAGGCATGTATTACCTAGAGGGAGTKAAAACCTAATAATAAGGACCATTAGCTATTGCTCATTTTTCTTAATTCATGACTGAAAGGTTCTCAGTGTAGTTAAGCAGGGGGTCAGAGYCCTGTAGGATGATGCACCAAATTCCACCAAATGTCAAATTATATGACATGGACCTGGACTTGAAAAGCAAAGTTCCCCAAGGCTTAAAGAAAGGTCAGCTGAGACAGGGAGAAGAGGTTCTGTAAGGCTACTTGCCAACTTCAAGAGATGTGAGATATTAACATTTCACCTTGATTTAACAAGGCTAAGAGTGCTTTGCTCTCCTTAGTCTATGAGAAAAAGAAAATCAAGTTTGGTGATCAGTGTAGTTTGTTTTATTTCCAGCTTTGTCCTACTTTTACTTARTGTGAGTTTAGTACCTGCATTGTAGAAGGTGAGTGTGTAATTTCAAGAGTYCCTAAAATAAAAGCATCCTTAAAATTTAAGAGAACTGGCTAGAGATAAAGCTACAGCCACAGCAGCATTCCAAGTCTGCTTTAAAAGTGGCAAAGACAAATATGTTGTTCCTCTGTCATTAAGTGAGGTTGAAAAGGGCACGTAAACAAGGAAAAATCTTAAAAGACAGGGAAAGAAATCAGAGGTTGTTTGATGAGCATTTAAAGGTGGCAGCTCAAATRAGCAGTTCTGCTTTGTTACTGGCTCCTTGTTCTTTTTCAGCTCTAAACCCCTTCGCTGTGCTGGGACAAGGTCTCTGGAGTGAAGCAGTAGGTAACTGACTCAGCTAAAAGCAACATTTTTATTTTGCTGGGTTATTTTCCAGCTAAATCAGTGTCATGATCCTCCTACCTCATCAGCACAAAAAACATCATGTTGGCCAAAAGGAGTTGGAGCATGGGAGTGAAAAMAAATTTTTGGAAACGTGCAAAAGGGAGGCCATCAGGGGATTAAAAAATAAGCTGGGGATATGCTCCAAGACTGGATCTTTATGCCATAGTTTCCATTACAAGAAATTCCCCAGGTGTTCCTGAGAAAATTTCATTACATCTTCCTCCTGTCAGAGCCAACAGTTCAGACTTGCGCCATGTCATAAAGCAGAAATARGACTCTCCTTTTTTTCCATGTTGTAGCTTAGCTGTGAGTGCATGAGAAGAGAGCTCAGCTTGTCCGCGTGACTTACCCATTTTGCAGTTCTTCACTGTGAGTTTGCAATAACCTAAGTTTACAGTGCTAATATAAATCTCCCTGGTCTACGCAGCCCAAAAGAGCTGCAAAGGCAGCCTAAATGCCTCTCAAGACCTGGCCTAGGGACAACTGACAGTACCCAAACTTACCAGCAATGGACAGGACGGCGTCAAAGCACTCACTGCGGTAGGGCAGGCACAGGCTGTGACAGACCATCACCTCGTGGCCTTCATCGCGGGCGGACTCCACCAGCGGGAAACAGTAATCGCAGCCCAGCTTGTAGGCTTGAGAATTGATGTGAAGGTATTTGCCATTTCCACAGCCTGCRGGAATAATGAGGAGGGAAAAGTGGTCAGCTGGTGTCTGTGTGAAATGTAATGTGTTCCTGACATCAGCCATGATGTTCAGCGCTTGAATTGCTTCGACAGCTTGAAATCCCCTACCCATTTTAAAGAGGATATGATTGCGGTGCAATTCAGGTGCTTTTCCCGCCGCTATAGCTCTATGAGCACAGGCTGCCYCTTTCTCTCTGCTGCTTGACAGGAGGTGTTCAAGTGGGATGGCTGGAGGGCGTTTGCCTTGGCCTTCCCCCCAACACAGAATCAAACACAGTCAGGGTAATGATGCTGCTGCAGTCCCTCCTCTGCCAGTCGCAAAATGCTAAGCGAAAGTCCCATGCAGTGGCATGGGGCTAAATTATTGCTGTGTATTGAAACACTGATAGACAAACTAGGAGGCTAAGTAATTAAGTCATTATTAGACCAAACCATTAAATCCATTGTTTGCTCTTTAACTGCTGCTAATTGCGGTCACCATGACAACAGTGAAGTTCCTTTTTTTTTTTTTTTTTTCTCCCAGTATCTCCAAGTAGTTTCCATTCCAGGATGGAGGTTTGGACATGGACACCTTCCCAATCTGAAACACTTCTTGTGTTGAAATAAAGGCACATGTCTTCACATAATTAGAGTAATGTCAGTAGTAAACAGGTATTAGCTAAAATTTTGGTAATTTGTTTTCAGAATTATCTGGATCTTAACACAAAATGGATCCTGCGTCACTAAAATGATTATTCAGATTAAGATCAGGGAAGAAAATGCACTGAGCTAGCATAATAGCGTTTACCTTGTGCATATCTTAGTTCACATCCTGTTTACGGCTGCRCTTACATCAAATATTAAGCTTGGGTCAGAGCCCAGATTTTATCTCTAATTTATTTTTTTATATGATTACATTTATTTTGGAGCCTCTGAATGTTCAATCCCTCTGTTTAGGTTACAGCTATCCCACAGTACCTGTTCTGAAATCCTATGTGAGTCCAGAGCCTCCCAGCCCTGCCAGTCTGCTACAACATTTCAACAGAGGATGAGTCACTGCTGAGTCACAGGTAGAAATCTGCTCCCAGCTGCTGATCCTATCTGCCAGGAGTGGAAGGAAAATATCCAGAAAATATCTAGAGATGTCACAGTCCTCCTCATGGCTATGAAATAAACTCCAATATTGCTGAGAAGAGCTGCTGTTAGGCAGTGCCAGTCACTGGCTAGTATTGCACACAATTTTTGGAGGCAAAAGAGAAGAACAGGACTATCCTGGAGCTCTGATTGGAAGTGAACTCCAGGGCTTTTTTCTTCTGGAGGGAAAGGCCCCAGTATGAGCCAGCAAGAGAAGTGACTACAGTATTTCTCCTAAACTGATGCCAGCGCCTGCTGCCCAACTGGGAAGAACAGGGCTGAGCTCTGCAGGTAGAGGCCTCTAGGGCTGGATGGCAGCTGTGTCTCACATGAACCACCTCTCTGACCATGGGCACCACAAAACCATATCAGCAGCCTCCATGGGCCAAAGCCCAGGAGCCAAGCCTGAGCTTATATTAAAGCTTATATTGTTTTACATGGGTGAATTGGTCAGTATGGTGGCTCACATTATGTGTTTGTTCACACTGAAAAAAAGTGTGAATTCTTCTGAGATCTGTTATGAATATATTCTATATGCTATAGTCAGCATTTAGACTGAGATAAACCGGGAAAAAAAAAATATGGTAAAGCTTGAAAGACATGCAACAAGATAATATGATTAGCCCAACAACCACATTTTTTTTTTCATGAGCATTGCTATATTATACTTAACGCTAAAAAGTAAAGGGCAGGGGACTATAAACGGGTGTTGCTGGAATGCATGACAGATTGAAAATGATGTTAAAAGAAAAGATATTTAGAGATCCAGGCTGGGCATGTAGCAATGACTACAAAACCATCCCAGATCTCACCTGGGCAAGCAGCACGGCTTCCACTTGTGGGGTAGGTGCAGAATATGCAGGCCTCTCTACTACACTTCAGGAAATCTCTACCTTACAGGTATTAACAACTATAACATTATTCCCCAAAGCGCTAAGGACAATATCATGATACTTTTTTCACCTTGACCAGACAGAATACCCATTGTAAGGGCTATAGAAGACCTAATATTCTAGAGTTATGCATACCTACAAATATTAATATCTGCTAGCAACATCTTAAGAAATRTAAGTGGTAGCATTCGCTGCTGAGACGTCTGCATATACCTATGAATGGTGGAGAAACTTGGAGGCAAATTGGATAGCCTGGCCATTTTGATTCACACGTTGCAGACAAGCTYCAAACTCTTCTGCCACAAGTATTCACAGAGAAGACATCTCCACGTTCTCCTTAGCCATGTGAGAAACGGGCTCACTCACCAATGTCAGCAATGAGACTGCCTGGTTCCTGCTCCGAAATGAACCGCTGCACCTTTGGCCAGGCCTTGTAGCGGGCATCGTTGAAGGAAGGGGCGATTTTCTCATACACGCTGTGAACRTGGTCCCTCTCGAGCTGGCTTGCCTCCTTCTCCATCCCGACAAGGGAGACTAGCTCATGGAAATCAATGCAACTGTCCTAGAGAAAGTCAGAGGAGAAAAAGAGGTGCAGAAATTCTTGTAACCAAAGCACATTTCTCTAATTCATTCAATAAGGTATGTTTARAAAGTAGTATTTCCAAATGCTATATCGCCATTAAGGAAAAAACTGCTGAGGCTTTTAAAGAAAGATAACCTCTTCTATGGTTTTATATAATACATAGTTCTATATAAACTTGAAAGGGATTTTAGGACCCGTTACTCAGGTTTTCCTGGCTTGCTTACATTATCATATCTCTAAAAAATGTTAACTCTTGCTTTATAGAGTCTTCTTTTTTCAGTCTATCCTTAAAAAAAAGGTACATTCTAAGTTCTTTGTATACAGATGCATCTTAAAAAAAGCGCAACTTAACATGATGATGAACAGCAAAATCTGTTCAGTCTGAAGCAAAATGTCTAAGAGGCATGAACTCTCCTTCTTGCTCCATCCAGCGCCCTGAAAATCCACGCTTAAGGACTTGCCATTGCACAACTCATTGACACCATGTGTTGCTTTGGAGAAAAACTTTTCAAGCTTTCCAAGAATCATTTTGTTGCAGCTGTTCTGGATTGGCAGGATGCACAGATATCAGCAAAGCCCAGAGGAAAACCCCGCGACGAGCTGGATGGTGTTGTCAGTCAGTGCAATCACTGTTCAGCTCACCGTGAAGCTTTGTAAAACACAGGATTCCAGCAGAACTGATGGAGYTGTAAAAATCAGGAGCTTCTTTCAAAATATGTTGCCCATGCCAGCATTCCTACTGATTTATGTGAGGGAAGCATTGGACCATCAAGACAGGTGGCTCCTCCTCTACACACACTGCAAACAATTCCAGGTTCAAGAATTTCTCTAAGCCAAACGTATTGATGAAGACACCTCGACCAAGGTACTGAACACTATGTTGGCCATTTGTCTGGCCTGAAATACTCCTTATCTGGTTCTTATTTCCAATACCGTAAACTATTAAAGTGCCATTGACACAAAAGACTATTGTTCTGAGATTTCCTAGGTAATTACACAAAAGAAAAGAAAGCTGGAGCAGCCTAAACTCAATTGCCACAACTGACATCAAAAAACTAACTATAGCGGGTTTTGTTCATGTTATTGATTAATCTAAGAAAGTGTGTTAAGATTAAATCCTGTGGCCTCTGGCTTCTGCCACATTTGATATTCAGTGAGTGCTGYTGCAGAATGGGCCAGACTGTTTCCTGGAATTAACTGCCTATGTCAAAGTGACGATGAGTTTTGGAGCGAGGTGAAGAAATTCTTTGGAAGATCATCTTTGTATTCTTTATTATGGATGTAGATGTCATTGGAGAAATACAGGTAATAAATAAATGAGTGACAATTGTCTTGCTGTGGCCTGGCTCGCACAGCAACACCTACAGCTTCAGCTGCTGGGGAGATTTAAAGCCACTGCCTTGCAAGCACTCACACAGCGGCTTAACTGTGTGTGCAAACAGCACTGCATCTCCAAGGAAGAGGGATTTTTTAATGTCTCTTCATAATAACCAAACTCTGCTGTARGAGCTAGCTGCTTTTTCTTTATTATTTTTTTTAATGCTTTTGAAAAAAAAAACAGATTGAAATAGCAGAAGTGCTCTACTGGGCATCATTTCAAGAGGAAGCTGAGGTACTATTAAATATACAGGGAAAGGCAGAAAAAGGGGAGAAAGAGAGAGGGAAATTGTTCCTTGGAAAAACTGCTATATTGTTATTGCTTTATTTGACATGAGGAAAAATAACTGGTAAAGTGATGTAAGATCACAAGAGGGAAGGCAGCAGAACTGTTTCTGCTTAAACCCAGCCTTACCATCCATATACTTCACTTAAAAGCAGGAGTCGCCTGCTCCCAAAKGCAACCAGAAGTTGCTACCTGCTTGGTAAAGGAAGGTATGTGTGGCATACCATTAGCAATGGAACACATAGAGTAACTTTCAAGCTTACGAAAAAGATTTCAGTGCAAAAAGCCCATCATGGACAATGTGTAAAAATGGCTTCTCCTCTGTAATAGAACCAATAAAGATGTAAAAGGGGCTATGATTAAATCCTACCTAGAAGAAAGAGAGATACAGAATCCTTCATTTTAGAACGATAGTTTGAAGAGCGATGGGAATGGCCTGTTTGTCTAAAAGTCTGGCTCTTCTCTTAMAATAAGTTAGCTTTTTATGAGTTTCTTACAGACAACAGTTCTTCCTGGGGGAGATGGGGAGAGATGGGCCACGCGCCACAGGGCCCGGGCACCTCTGATGTTTCTGACCACAGGATTTCAATGCCTGTCCACCCCAGATGCTTACCAAGCCATAAAACACAAAACACTGGCCACCACTCCACTTGATGTTTATTGCAATGGGCTCAAAGCCTTTTCAAATACAGGGTGCTAAAGGAAGAGAACAAAAGAAACAACGAGGGCACAGCCACTAAGTTTATTAAGCAAAATTGTTCCGATAACCCTAGGAAGGTGACCCACATTATAGAAACAGGCAAACTGAAACAGAACAGAAAGATGCCACCGATCTGGCCTGGGGGAAAATTCCTTTCCGGGACCGGCTCAGGTTTAGGCATGTACTTTATCCAGGCAAATGTGAACCTGAAAGAATTTCCAGTTTCTGTGGGCTCCCCAACATCCTTCCCTTAGTCACAGAGAAAGCCAGAAAGGACTTTGGAAACCAGCTGGGCATCAGGAAGGCAGAACACTTTCGCTGAGCAGCACAGAATCAGATACACAGCAGTGCAAATCTTGAATATACACATTTTGTATTGATACTGAAAGCTTACTCATAAGCAGGGCTTTCAGGAATGTAAATATTTTCTTTTCAGCACACTCACCTTCATCCAAAAAAAAAAAAAAAAAAACCCATCTATTCACCAGCTGATGAGAAAGCAAAAAGAAGAGGTGCAGAGCAGCTGTTCAGCCTGACTCTCTGTCACATAACCCTTAGCTAAATTTGACACAACTTGATTGAAAGCAAAATGAAATTTGAGCTTAAATGTCATTATAACCGCTGAGTTCATAAGTGATTATTAACTCACTAGCTACTGTGAAGCCTCTGGCTGTTCTTTGGGTTGCAGGCCCCCCATGCCAGCCGTGCCTTGCACCAGCCCTGCCGGGGGCTACGACAGGCAACTGGAGACCCTTGCATGGGGCAATGCAAGGGTCAATGGGGCACCCAATGGTGTGTTGAGCACCCCCTACTTTTATGTTTCAACTCAAAAACTCTGTTTAGGAGGGGGAAGAGGCTTCCAGCTCATGCCCCTGAGCCCCATGCTGCTCACTCATGCCCCGGGGCAGCCGCACAAGTGAGGGGCTCTCAGAGCCAACGAGGGGATGAAGCTGGCGCAGGGACAGGTCCCAGCACGAGGTGTCACCATGGAAAGCACCTCCTGCCACGGGCTGGAGAGGRCAAGCGCAGCTCCTGCACCGTTGAACCACAGCGCTCCAGAAATAGGAGTTACTCAAGCCTTGGGGAAAGCAGTAGCAGCAAATGATGTGATATCTGGCCTAACACAGCTGAAAAAACAAAGCAATACTTTTGTGACAATATTTTCTAAAAGTTGTTTGATTCTTCTCCACCTGTGTCATCTGCATCATTCCTATTTCATACACAAATGTTATAAAACAAATTAACATGTTCCTACGAGCAGAGTTGTGATGGAGAAAAGCAAAACATCTGAGTCCCACCTTCCCCTTTCCATTTCTAGTTCACATTCCCTGGGCTCCCCCACTGCTCCTCACTTCACAGAACAGCAGGGCTTCTCTCTCCTGGCTCTGCTTCCCCAGCCCTCTCCTTGCATGTCCTGCACGTTAGCAAGTGCATCAAGGCAGCACCTCATCTGTGCCTGAACCGATGCAAATAAACCATCCAGACGTCAGTCGTGTCCCTTGATCCATTATGAAAAGGGRCTCCGGAGAGTTTTTTCTTCCGCTGCTGTCTCGGGCTGGTTGCAGTCACAGCTGGCGCCCTGTGTCACTCAGAGGAACCGTCCCTGCCTTTGACAGGCAGATCAGGAAAGAACAAGGGAGGTAAAACTGCAGAACTGGCCTGCAAGTCCAGGAATGACGGTTCCCAGGAGATGTCAGGATCTGGGCAAAGACTGATTAATGGAAGGGGAAATGCAGTCTAGGGTACAGAGGGAATAGGAGAAAGTAAAGCCTGAAAGAAGGTACATGGAAAGAAAATGATAAAAGGGAATTTTATAAATAGTGAAAAGGGAAAATGAAGGGCAAGGAAGGGAATGAAAATGAGGAGAAAAAAATGAGAAAAAGAAGAGGGGATGAAACAGCAARGACATGCAAAGAAGCTCCAGGGTGGCATTTTAATTAGCTTTCCTTGCTGCTTTCTTCCCTGCCCATCATTCTGGGGCTCCGTGTGGTAACCTGACAGTCACTCAGCCATTCGGCGGCTCATCTCAACACTGTGATAGAATCCCAGAATCCCAACAGCAGGCAGGAGTGAGGAGCCTGACCCACAGCCTTGGGAAACCAGGAACGGGGCCCGACACAACCAGAAAACCTTGAGGCCTAGAGCAGGTACCGAGCCCTGGAGACCTGAGGTATCAYTGCAGACACATTCAGGATCTGAACCTTAATTCCAACCTTAATTTTTCCTGTACGTCAATAATAGACGTGAGCATTGCTTATGAGATTTGAGACACTGGAGAGCTGAGTCTTAAACTAAAAAACCAACCCATCTTTGTGCTACGTATTGGTGCTACAGTCCTGGACTCCTCTCTCTTGTGTCTGCAGTGGCTGGGTTATCCTGAACTCTCAGTGCTAACTGCTTCTRAGATTCCTCTCTATTTCTTCTTGTTGCCTTCATAGAAATACACAAAGATCTCTTCTGTCTTGCTAGCTTGGATACCACTGAAATAGGATCAACCCACATCCTTTGGGGATGTAGCATTGCTACACAGTTTTATCCCAAGAAACCCACTCCAAGTGCCCAAGTAAATATGCAGA